AATATGCATACATAAACCTATCATTTGAGACCGGAAGTGACCTACACTAAATCGGAAGTACCTAATATCTCTATTATTACAGGGAAAAGTATATAGAAACCATATATTTTTGGAAACAGTGTAAATAAAGCTATCATGTGAGACCGGAAGTGACATTTTTAAAACCGGAAGTTGACAATCATCTCCCTTATTTCAGGCAAAAATATATAGAAACTTTTATTTATTGAATCAGTATGAAGAAACCTATGCTTGGACGCCAATAGTAACTTTGAGTAAACCGGAAGTAGCTTCTCATCAATAATTTAGAAAATTGATGTGGAAAGACCTTCAATTGTTCTCTGAACAATTGGTTTTTAATTAATATTTGATATTCTTTTTTCTATAAATTGGTTATGCATGCAAAGAATAATTAACTTCCCTAAAAATATACGCTTTCAAAAATTATAGGAAGAAAGAAATTTCGGGAAATGTGGCGTAGAGTGCATGGTGACTTTTTTTTTCGAAGGGGTGCTTAAACTTAATTGTCTGTAAATTGATACAATGGAGCCTGCTACATGTTTGCGTGCATTCCATCATGTTTGTGGGACAAAATTATCCTATAAGTGAGCGCATATTTGCTTTTTTCTCTCTCTCAAATTAATGTAAAGGACAAGTTCCAATTAAGATATAAAACCTCGTCGCATCGCATGCCTATATAGCAGGCAATTCTGTTCTGTTGGAGATTCGAGACAACAAACTCCATTCTGCCACACATTACTTCTAGAAGTAATAACCTTCATATACACGTTGCTTTGTAGCTGACTATAGAGATTGATCTACTCGCAGTAAACACATATTTTTGGCGTAAGATTTTTTGTGAAAAGAGCACAGACATTTATATATTTGCACTATTACATGGAGCTTAGAATACAAGTATGAAAACAAAATATCAGCTCTGCAAGTTGGCTTAAAAAGAAATGAATCATATAATTATATAGTTTCGATTCGTTTTATACTAACGCTAGGAAAGAAGGTCAGGGTGTATATTTTGAATCGTTTATTATCTGGCTAAGGGGGAAAATAGATAAGATGAGCTCACTGCTGATCGCATTTTCTTTTTCACTGTATGTTCCCTTTTTAAAAGTGACACTGTGATCATATGTAACTTTTCTCACTTTTATGGCCCCAGAGCCCGGTCTTTTTCAAGTATCTGAGTTAAATATTTCGTTATCTTAAATCATTTATACAATGCTGATCTACTTTGATGCATATTAAACAAGAACTTTATTTAATATAGATCAGACCATTTCATGAAATTAATTGGTTGCCAAATATGCTAGAAAAGTCATGTACAGTTTAACTTTATCTTGACGGGAACATGAAATTACAGTTATGGGGACATTTCATTGGACATCTCAGATCGTTTCGGAGAGCACATTATAAGAGCTGTCTTCTCATATATATATTATTTAAAACTCTTAACTTTCAATTTTCTTTGTATTCGCATAAATTAACATTTCCCGTGTATAATCCTTACAAAATCTGAACATGTTTTACAAGCTTTTAAAAGCTCTAAAAAAAGGTCGGCGAGCCATACTTTTTCCTATGTTTTTGAAATTATAGCATTTTGGCAAAGTATGAAAAACTCTACCCCTTTTTATATAGACCCAAATAAAGCTACATCAACTGATATTTGACCATCAGCAGACTGAAACCGATTTTAAAAAATATACTCATTTAGTTGTGACAAGATAATTATTATTTAAGGAACTGCTTTCGTAAATATACATGGATCAATGTTTTTTGAAAGGAAGTACTATGGACCAGGAGTGCATTTCATGTACGTTTTCTACAATGAATTGTTTTTTAGCGCTTCCAATTCTAAAATATATCTGGGTATCGGTTAACACTAAATTTTCTTTAACATTTTTAGACCGTTTTCAAACGGGTTATTTACGGGTTTCGGGTTTCGGTTTTGAGTATTTTTGATTTTTTAACAAGTATAAAAAGCAATATTCCAGCCATTTTTGTGACGTTCTGCGAAGAGAAAACATAAATCTAATATACACAAAAATTAACTTTTCCACGCAGCAGATTGGTTGATTGATTTATTTGTGTTTAACGGCATATTCAGCACGATTGGCTATTTCGTGGCGGTCAATTTTTATTGTTGAAGGAAGCCGAAGTGCTCAGAGAGAACCGCCGATACACACAGCAGACATTTTGTAGTTGATTTAGTGGTAAAAAAGGAAACTATGGTGTCAATTTGTTACATATACAGCGTGTTCAATGCAGTATATTTATTGTATTTAATATTCTTTCTTTAGTTTTTCTATAAATTGGTTATGCATGCAAACAATGATGTACTTCCCACAAAATATACGCTTTCAAGAAATATGGATAGAATTATTTTTTTTGAAAGATATGGGGTACAGTGCATGGTGACGTTTTTCTAAAGGGAGCTTAAACTAGGTTAAAATGTACTGGGAGTGTCTTTGAATTATTACACTGGACCTGCTACATACATAGTTGCGTGCAATTCATCATATTTATCGGACAACTATTACCCTAACACTCAAATTAATGTAAAAGACAAGTTTCAATTAACATTTTAATACTCGTCCATCGCATGACTATGTAGCAGTAAATTCTGTTGGAGATTCGAGACAACAAACTCCATTATGCCACACATTACTTCTAGAAGTAACAACCTTCTTTTTCATACATTAGTTGCTAGGTAGATGATAATAGATTGTTCTACTCACAGTAATCATTTATATATTTATACTACTACATGGAGCTAAGAATACAAGTACGGAAACAAAATCCTGGCTCTGCAAACTGGCTAGAAAAATTGATTCACATATATAGTTCCGATTCTTTAATTGCAACGCTAGGAATTAATGTCAGGGTGTATAGCTTCAGTTTGAGTGATTTATAATCTGGCTAAGGGAAAACAATAAGGTGAGCTTATTTTTGAATGCATTTTCATTTTTTACTATATGTTCTTTTTCTAAAAGTGAGACTGTGATCGTATGTGAACTTGTCTCACATTTTTGGCCTCGGAGCCTGGTCTTTGTCAAGCATCCGAGTTAAATATTTCGTCATATTTAAATTATTTATACAATGTAGATCTACTTTGATGCATATTTAAACAAGAACTTTATTTAATATAGATCAGATCATGTCATTAAATTAAGTGTATGCCAAATATGCAAAAAATATACAGTTTAGCGTTATCATGACGTGAACGTCAAATTACAGTTATGGGGACATGTTATTGGACATCTTAGATCGTTTCGTATGTTATACCTGCAGCTCAAACAAAAATATATATCACATCATGTTAGAAGAAATGAAATGTATTTTCCGTTCATATCGGTTAAAGAGTGTTCAAAATTGGGGATCAAATAAAATTTCGTTTAATAAACAGCCTCTGGGTTATTATATGCGTCATTTTATCCATCGGGACATTTTATTGGACACGAGAAAACTGACGATGTTTTGAAAGTAAGACTGCAGTTATATAGTGATGCCTTCATAAAGCTTCTTTAGGAGATGTATAAATTTTCTGATATTATTAAAAGCCACATTCATCTGTTATATCTTATACTAGTGAAGGCAGAAAGTTCTTATAGGAGCTGAGCAGCTGAATGGGACATTTGTTCTCTTCCTAAGCTCAAAGCTTCTGACAATCTTCTTTCACTCACAGTTAAAAACGTTTAGGACGCTATTTTTCATCAATTGTATACAATACTGTTGTAAAATGTTATCTCATTTAACCTACTAACTAGTCCGCATTGTGATTTCAAAGGCACACACAAAACAAAATTGTAAAATGACGTTATAGCCGTCGAAATGAGCAACGTTTTTCTTTACATGATATACATAGCACAAAATCATCTATTTTTTTTTTATTTCTGTGGTTTATTTCCTTTCGAATGATATGCTGATCATGGATATATATTGTGTAGGAAAAGAGCGTGAATTGGATTAACCCGCTATCTAACGCATTTTTTCAAAGAAGCACCGATACCGTGCGCAACGTCCATATGCTAAATTTTAAAATTAATTAAGCATATGCTGAAATCAATAATTATGATCTTGATTCCGCGCCATAGTATTGAGAGATATACGAAAACGTTTTGTCGGTATCTTCAATATTTGGCGTTGTAAAATATAATAATAAAATCTCTAAATATCATTTCTAAATAATAATAATAATATCTTTATTTAAAGAGAGTAACTCATTTGGATTAAAACAATTTTCAATGAGGATCTATACATACAATATTAACTACACGAATAAAACATAATCAATCTACTAATATACAAATATAACCGATATATATGTTACAGTAAATAGATGAAATTAGGAATTACATGTAATTACTAAAATTTAGGAATTACATGTACTTCCTCATGCACTTAGTTAATACAAGTAATTCCTGGAACTGCCCGGTTATTACCAATAATTACACTTCTCACAAATGTATTTCTCATATTTGGATTGATATCATTGTCTTGCATGTTGCAAATGATTTTTAGCGAGTTTCAAAAATTATAAAAAAAAACATTTTCCAGTTTCAATTCACAAACAAAACTAAAGAGCATGCAGTCTTGAAGGACCATTCGTTCCTAAACCCTTAAGTAAGCTCTACAATCCATACCCTTTTACTTTCTTATCTAGTTTCTTGAATTATGTCTTAAATTTTAAAACAAAAATATCAAGTTAGTAAATAGCTGTAAAAATGACCAAAAAAATCATTGAATATCAGTAATCACTGAAACAATCAGTAAATACATGTAATTACTCAATTGATTAGTAATTACAGGTATTTACTTAATTGTTTAGTAATTACGTGTAATTTCTTATTTCACCTATTTACTGTAACATATACATTTCAGTAGTTAATTTTAATTTCGTTTGTGATAAAAAAAAGTATAAAGTATAGGAGTGCTTTATGTTTAAACTTTTCTACACTCATCATAGTTATAAGTAAATCAAAATAACCACTCACCTTCAAAAGTTGAATTGTAATCGTTTTAGTAAATAAAAAGCCTATATAATGATGATGACCTTAACACTGGATATTACGTTATAGAAACTTTACAGGCGACCGTATGTAGTATCCGCTTCCTATCATTGACCTATCACTGGCAAATTATTTCCGCTACATGTTAGTATCGATACAACGTACATGTAGTTTCGCATTAGTTTTTATGACCTCTAAATTCAACGATATATATGGGTTATAGTAAAAGTAATATAGTTAATACGAAGAGAGCCCAAATAAAATGTGAATCAAATCCATTGAGCAAACCAGCAATAATCCCATACCGACCACCGAATACATTTAAATTCCACACCAATAAGATGTGTCAAAATTTCAATCTTACTGCAGACAGTTATTGCTAGCTCTATAAACAAATCAATTAATTTTTCCTTGTTAGCACATTGGCCTAGTACAAAGGAGACATATGGAATTCGGCTTAACTCATTAAATCTTTGTCATGATATATATACCAGCTGCACAACTACACGCCCAGTGTTAAACGACGTTCTCTGAATAATTGTTCCATATACTTTATACGTCTCTGATCATAGATGTTACATTTATTAATAACGCTTTTTGTGTTCAGTTTCTTGCGTCTTTCTTTTGAATTGTTGCATGTTTGATTTAGTTAAGTAAATCACAAAAGTAATGAAAAACACGAAGTGTTACAAAAATGTAACATTCACAATATATATGAATAATGGCATAAACTCAAAACGCTGCAATGAATAATAAGTACATTATTAATCGCATTGGTTTAAATCTTTTTTTGAAATGGTTGCATGAATGTTTTAGAAAAAGTACAGTTTATGCCTTATGTAAATATTATCAGGTATATGTTAAATGAAAATGTACAAGTTAAAAAATGCTACATGCATATTATATATTTCTTTATTTAAAAAAAAAATACAAGTGTGGACACCGATGAGTGTGGATAGTATACGTTTTGAAGTTTGACAGTGTTTTCTGACAAAAACAGTTTTCTTTTGTTGTTCTTTTCTCTCTCTTAGGGTTCTATGTTTAAACTATGTTCCACTGTGACAGCCATCCTGAATATCAGACCTGTACCAAACAAAGTAAAGTTAGCAGTGTTGTTTATTCAATATGTGGTATTAATGTTCAAGACTGTTTGGAGGAGACACTATTTGTATGGATTACCAAATGATTATGTTAAAATGTGTTCTACAACTTTGCTTTTGGATAGCAGTACAAACTTAAAATTAGGAGAGGGACACATTAGTTGCATTTCTGTAGGGTGCAGTTTTGTTGTGGTATACAAGTGCTGTACTTCACATTTACACATATTGATAAATTAACAAATTAATGCCGTCTGATAACCCCCAAGACGTCTCCACGTAGAGAAAGAATTTACTAAAAAAAATCTATTTATGTTACATTTGCCAGACGCGGATTCAGGCGGTGGCACATCAGGCTAACGGTCCCTAAAATAAAGAACAAACAAAGTAATAAAGGTATAATCACAGCTAATGTTGTGTCAATAAGATGTCCTCTTATTCCTAATTCTTAGGTCCTCCCTCTCTAACATCAAATACTGGATCCGCGCCTGGTTTGGAGAACAAACCACATTCCATGGTTTTGATGTTATCTGTGATATCTTTACTGTATGCATCAATGTGGAATTAAATCTGTAGGGATTTCTAAGAATTGAATGCTTCTTTTTGTAAATTTATTCACGGCTGTCATTCGGTATATCGAGAAAAATGATCGTGAAAGAATACCTAACGGTGGTCATGCATTGCGCTCGGATCGCGAAAGATCTGGTATCGAATCGTGAATGTAATTAATTGTAATTCTACTTCAAAATCTGTGAAAAATCTGCTGTATTTTCAAAATGCAGAACAAATCCGGAAAAAAAATATGTCTGTCCAAATGATTCAACTTTCTCAATAATACTGTGCAATAAGATATGGAAAATATGCAGTACTTTAGGAGAAAACACAAAAGGCGCAACACAAGTCTGTGGGATTCATCAAACAAAGAACACGTTTTGTACCTATAATGATCACATTCCAATATATAATGATATATTTGAAACTAAATCTTTGGTGTGTCAGATAGTTCAGTAAAAGAAAAGGTCCTTGAAACCGTTTATTTTGTTGTTGAAAACATTGAATTTTGTTGATTTTTCATCAAAATTGATCGTGAAAGATCGGGCAGCGCATTATCTTGATCGTGAAAGACGAGTCGTGACCAGACTGGCGCAGGACGTTTGCGCTTTTGTACCTGTAACACTAAATGTCATTTCCGCTTCAAACACTATGGACATTTGTGCTTTAGACTTTGATGCACCTGTACAAAATTGACAAGACATTTTCGCTTTTTATTTATAACAGTTTACCTGTAATCTTAGAAAAATTACCAAAGTCATGGAAAGGTGTACATACTTTCTTCCTTTGAAAGTTCTTCCGAACAAATGACAAAATCAGAAAAAAATATTCGGGTAACCCAGACATATTATAAAAAATATAGTATACGTTTCTAGGTTAACGATAGAGAAAACGAAACTTTCATAACTAGAACATTTAAATTTTGACCGAATTCTTCAATTTGCATTTTATAATTGGTGGATTTAAAATTGGAAACTATACTCCTCTTGTGTCTATTCTGTTTCGTGAATAGTCTGAGGAACTGAACCATCATGTAGTTTATCTAGGCTTGTTTCAATTTGTGAATACCGAAATTTTAATTCTAAACCACGCAAACGTCCCGCGCCGGACCAGACTTAAGAATTAGAAAACAATATGTTTTACCAATTGATATACTAAGTACTTGCAACTAGTTGAAGCGTGTAAATATTTAGAAAAATAACGAACATTTCTGCTATTATTTTTTTCACTTTTTTTTTATTTCAACACTTTTCCTTAAAAGTTATAAAAATACATAAAAAAGTGTCTAGATAAGAAGATTTACAAGATAAAGGAATCTTCAGGAGCGTAAACTGTCGTAAAGTAAAAGTATATATGCATCTATAATGCTTAATGCATCCGCTCTGGAAATATATGCATATAGATGCATTTAGTCTTAGACGCATGCTTTTTTTTATTAGTTGTTATTGGCTTTGAACTAGCTGTCAGTAACTGCGAGTATACTCTCAGATCTGTGCTTAGTGTCTTTTTGTTGTTGGGATGTACAAGTACCCACCACGTCCACTCTGTGTTTTTGTTAGATGTGTTTCTATTTGTATCCATCTGATGAGTTAAGCATTTTTCAACTGATTTTTATAGTATGTTCTTATGTTGTTCTATTACACAACTGTCCCGTGTTAGGGGGAGGGTTTGGCGCCCGCTGATATGTTTAACCCCGCCACATTCTGTATGCGCCTGTCCCAAGCCAGGAGCCTGTAATTCAGCGGTTGTCGTTTCTTGCTGTGTTACGTATTTGTTTTTCGTTCATTATTTTGTACACAAATTAGGCAGTCAGTTTTCTCGTTTGAATTGTTTTACCTTTGTCATTTCGGGACCTGTTATAGCTGACTATGCGGTGTGGGCTTTGCTCATTGTTAAAGGCCGTTCGGTGACCTATAGTTGTTCATTTCTGTGTCATTTGGTCTCTTGTGAGTAGTTGTCTCATAGGCAATCATACCACATATTCTTTTCTTTTTATATATGTACTCCTTTGTTTGTAAGGGTTGTTACTTTCAGTTACATGGAGTGTCGTTCGTGCGTACATATTATGGCAATATTGGCTAATATATTGTTTATTTCATGGCTGCGCTGATATAAACTAAAAAGGTACCAAGATAACGTTATTTTACTTGATTGTTTGATCAGTCTGTTCACAATAGCTATACGTCATTGTAGCCAACTTAGTGGGGAAAATACCAATCAACATACCTCGATTGTGCATGATGCCCAACTTAAACTGTAATTTAGCCGATTAAGTTCTATTATCAATCTTAAATTTGTATAAGAAATCAGACAAATAGAGTGTTATTGCTATAAGTGTGGTCGGTGTAGTATTATACATAAAAGATAATAAGATCCAATGGCATTGAACGATTAAAGTCCTATTCACCAACAATAGAGAACCGGGATGAGTCATGCAAATCCAGTATTTCTTATACCAATTGAAAATACAAATTATTCTATAATTAAATAATGATTTGAACGTTTTCGTAGCATCAGATCTTTCACGATCCTTTTCACGATCTTCAAAAAGCGGTACGCGGTCTTTCACGATCCGAAAAATCATTTTGTTTGTACATATTTCATTTTTTGCAAAATTTCTGATTATGCTAACACAAATTAACTAAGAACCATTTGAATCGTTAAAATGGGATGACATTTTACAAAGAAAAGTTGTTTAGTAATTCAAATTATGATAAAAATCTTGTTTGTTTACATATTTAATGTCATTGAAATGTCGAGGAGCAATCTGCCTTTTGTAGTTTTGTAAAAATGGTGTACTTTTAAACCTTGTTTTTTATCAGATACTGATCATAATGTTGAACCATTTTGACAGACAGTTTTATTTTTTTGTAAATTTTTCCGTATAATTCATAAAACTAGATTAGCAATTGACCTTGCAAATGTCTTCTCGATAAGATTTCATCCACGATACTATACCTGAGCTTTCACGATCCAATTGCCATACTTGACCACCGTTAGGTATTCTTTCACGATCTTTTTTCTCGATATACCGAATGACACCCGTGTTATTTGGGTGTAAAAGCTTTGACCGAAGTACATTTTGTATGAAGCGCAGAAGCGATTCATTTTATACATTTTCCCACGGTCAACGCTTTTACAACCCTATACATGTAAAATTACCAAAAGAAGCATTCGTTACTTAAAATTACAATATTTTGCTAGGATCATGAAAACACGATTTCTATCAAGTTTTTCTTTTATTTACATGTGCACTTTATTGTGGAAGACTGGTCATCATAAATGTTACATTCATTTTGAAATGAATGTTAATTTCAGAATGACGCGAGATTGTTATTAGCCAATCAAAATAACGTATTATAATGAAACATACATGTAATGTAATTATTAGAACATAACACATTCCATGGTTTTAAGTTATCTATATTATTTTTACTTTATGCATCAT